TAAAAATTGAGAAGCAGCGACAGTCGGTTTAGAAACAACCTGATTAAGATGTTGGTTTGGTTTAAAAACAACAGGTTGTTTGTGTTCGAGGTGAAATGACAACCTTTCGACAGGCGGTGTTCGATAATGAATATCATACCCAAAAAGCCTCCAACATGCCTCACATGCGGAAATATAACGACAGTTATAGAACTCACCAATTTCGTCATGGTCGTTATTTTCTATTTGTTGTTTTTTCTTTTTTGTTGGATCAACAATAGATGCTGTTATCCTATCCGGTCCTTTGTTAATATACTTAAAAAGATACTTTATCGATCCAACTTGGTTACACCACTCTAGATTCATGTGAGCTTGATATTGTTTCATAAGGATCTTATTATATGGAACAACATTCCTGAAAAATCAAGAAAAATGTCATAAACAACATTAAATGATAATTTGAAGTTAACATAGGAAGAACATAAGAAAACATATATAATGAGTAATATGTTTTTATAGATTACATTATCCGTTTAAAAATAAAATATTAGTACCATTTTAATTTAAGTTGTTTATTGATATTTATGTATTTAAACATATAATAATATATTTCATAAAAAGGAAACAAATTTAAGAATTAAAATTTAGTAAATCATTCAAAAGGATTTGTGTATACCTGTTGTCTAAAGAAACACCTTTTTTAAGGACATTATTTCCATCGTTACGTCTCCGGTAAATAGGATAACCATCTTCATCAATATACGTATGATCGGTATATTCCCTTGGAAATCGTTTTGAACATTTGCCTTTTTTCATACACGGCATAAATGGTTGATCGTTGCCACAAGGTCCGTGTATCATGTTATCACAAACAATCTGATACAAATCGGGTTCACTATCCTTGTCTGGCAATTCAGCACATATAACACGGTCTATGTCTTCAGGATTTGGAATTTTAGAATTTTTTTCCAAAAACAGACATACATGACAATGTGGCAGGCCCCTCTTTTGAAACTCAATCGTATATACAACTGTGTGAGCAAAGAAAGCAACCAGGGTTAAAAGATAAAATTATCAAAAAGTTATAATCTTAATGAGTAAAAAATATATAAGATTGATACCTCCAGCGACTTCACCCAAAGTTTTTTCATCCTTCAACTGACTGATTAATGAATCAAGTTTAATTTTGAAAATTCGTGTCAGAATATCTGGCCTGTCTTCCGGTTTAAGATTCTCGGCTTCAACAAATCTAATGACTTCTGGCCATTTAGGATTACATGTAAGGGTTAAAAAAAGATCTGGATAACCAAACCACTTAACCAGAGTCATCGCATCTAAGTAGTTTTGTTGCATGTAACGGCTGCCGCCAGTAAAAGAAGATGGTATAATAATACGGTTTCCCATCAAAGAAGCATCTTCAATGCCATCTTCAGCTGCCTGGGCCAAGTTGCGATAAGGTGCCACGCGTAATGTTGGCTGGTTAAACCTAATATATCTAAGTCGTTCATTTTCAACCATTGTATACGAATCAACCAAAAACTGTTGGAATAGTTTTCTTGAACGTAATATCAATGATATTTCATCGGTTCTCTGTTGTATACGATAAGCAAAAAACTCACGCATGGTCAACCTTATTCGTCCATCAGATTCTGGATCTTCAACACCACGATGTAGTATATCGACTCGAAATCCATCTTCGGCATAAGGGAATAATAAAGGATATTGAAGTGCAAGATACTGAGGATGCAACTCATTAATACGTTGAAGTTGTCGACTTTGCGTTTCCAATACGATATCCCTTGAATCATACCCATCAATGTCACCTATAATGAGGGCAGCTACCTCATTTGTGGTAGGAAGATTATACTGCCTACCATCATTTTCTCTTGACCCAATCAATTTCAACCTAATACGCTCTGTTGGATTTGAACCAAAGCGATCACGTGCCATTCTAAATTGTTTAACCAGTGGATTAATGAAATCCAATAAGCCCATCAACTCGTGAATAGTCCAGAACTCAAGAGAAAACGGATTTGCCATGGACTCATTAGATGTGGTCTTTTTCTTCTTATTAGACCTACAATAACATAATCAAAAAAATAATGGATATAAATTTTTGTAGTAATATATATATATATATATATATATATATATATATATATATATATATATAACACTAATGGAGTTATATAATATAGGGTATTAACACACTCGCATGATTTGAATCTGTTTTGAACCTCATGATCTGTATCATATATGTACAACTGGCAAAATCTGGGTGATTCACCCTCTTCGGGAAGTAAGCTGCCTGCAATATGATAATTTTGGCCATGCATTCGATAAACATAAGGACCACCTCCTGAGTTAACGGTGTGATCAATCTTTCCAGCCATAGATGTGAATGCGAACATCATATTGTATCGACGTATATTCTGTATAAAGTTTTGACTTTTTTCCGAAAGACCGCTATATAAATCAATCAACAACTGAGGTGGGTGAATCAGACTGGGTAGTTCAACTTTTCCATTGTAACAACAAATGGAATAACATGTTTTCTTTAAATCCTTATTTCCTCGAATTGCTTCTCCCTGCCACACCTTAGCTTTACATACTGAGCAAACATATACAGCATCTCCAGAATCCAAATAATCTATAAATAAATAAACAAATTTACGAAATTATATTTGTGGTATGCTTTAAATGTAATAGGGTAACGACATTTTATTTGTCATGACAAATAATTTGTGGTGTGGATATAATACCTTTGCTTATTCCGATATATTTAGTATGATTGTTACCGGTTACATCATTCTGAGCATTTGAAGTAGAAGGAATACATATTTGTGTCTTCTTTTTTGTAGAAATTGGTCTGCCTCTTTTTTTCTTTTCTTTATAGTTAACGCTGGTACCAACTGAAAAATGTGTGACTGTATGTATGAATAAAATATATAATAACACAACTGAATGATGAAGTTGATCATTATTAATAGATAAACGATCAAGTTGAACAATATGGGTACCTGAAGGTTCAACGACATCTTCATTCAACTCAAAAAATGGAATATCTTGTGTATTAAATCGTTTCCGTTTCGTTGTTGTTGAATGAGTTGTGTTGTGCTGAATTGTATCTTGGTTGTTGGAAAAGTCTGGAGGTAATTCGGTAAACTTTTGAGCAACTCGACAATTAGGGGGTACGAAGAAACTATTTTCTGAAAAATGAAAATTTGTATGATAATATAGCGAAATATATAAATAAAATATATGAATTTAATACACATAAGCAAATAAAAAAACAAAAAATGCAATACAAAAGAGACATAACATATAACAAAATGTACCTTTGTGAGAATTTCTTTGTATTGTCTGAGATGATGGTGTTTTCAAAGCATTCGATGAAGAGGGTGAATGAACTAAAGAGGAAAAGTATATATAAACATTAAATTAAATAAGATATTAAAGGAAAAATATAGTTAGCCAAATTAGATATTATAGACCTATATGTATTAAAAAAGATAGTTATACAAATTAGATATTATAGACATATATGTATTAAAAATTAAATGTTAAAAGTTTATATATTGGGAAGTTAAAATTGACGTTATATGATTTAAGAAGTGGATGTAAATATAATATAAAAGAAATTAAGAATACTTTACCTTGATTTGTTAGGTGTGAAAGTGGCGATCTTGGGGAAATAAATGTGGATTGAACATTCGGTTGTATGATGTTATGAGACGAGGTAGCCTTAGGTAATTCGGAAAGGTTTCGAGCAACTCGACAATTAGGTGGTATGAAAAAATTATTTTCTGAAATGAAGATTCGTATCATAAACGGAGGAGAAATATTAAAAAATATTAATAGTACAACAGATAAGCAAATATAAAAACGAAAGTGTAATATAAAAGATGCATAACATATAAGAATATGTACCTTTGTGGGATATTGTTTGTAATGTTGAATGTGATGATGGTTTTAGAGCATTGGATGAAGATGATGCATTCACTAAGGAACAATGGTATGTATATCAAAATATCATATGAAATATAAAGAGAAATGAGTTATACAAATTGAACATTATAAACATTCAAGCACTTCAAATACAAACAGAATGCTTAAATATGAATCTTACCATTTGTGATGTCAGACAGTGGTGTTGTTGGGGAAGTGTTGTTGGGTGACACATTAGTAACAAACCTTGTAGGTTTTTTCTTTCCCGAAGCATTTGAAATGTCAGTCATTTCAATATGTTTGATAATTTTTACGTTCTTAGTCATATCTCTATATGTATATATATATATATATATATATATATATATATATATATATATATATATAGTGATGATGATGATTTCTAACACTTTAAATAAGGGAACTGGATATTTGAAAGGTTTAAATTTGGTAAAATTAATATTGCATATAATTAAATAAAGTAATGAAATATTAGTTGGGTTTAACTTAGGTAAAAAATAAAGTCTTCATATAATTATGGAGGGAATAAATGCAGTATAGAAAAATTGATTTTGATTACATATTCCATGATTTTATTCTGTTACCATATGAAAACGATGCATATTTATGAAAATAAAATTTAAATTTGACTTTAACAAATAAAAGTAGGTGAAATATCATATATAATAAAAATATAAATATATCAATATATATATATATATATATATATATATATTATATATATATATAAATTAGGTAAAAAGTAAAGCATGCATATAATTATGGTAGGAATAAATAAAATATAGATGACATGTATTTTGAATACTTAGACTATGATTTTATTCTGTTACCATATGTAAACGATGTATATTTATGCAAATAAAATTTAAATTCCATTTAGACAAATAAAAGTAGGTGAATTAGCATATATAAAAAAAATTCTTAATTTTCGTGTGTGTGTCTGTGTGTGTGTATATATATATATATATATATATATATATATATATATATATATATATATATATATATATATAATAAATTTATAAAATCAAATGATGAATGAAAGAAAATATGCATTAAATCAAAAGAGTTCAATAACTTGAAATTGTCATAACCTCCAATTGTATCATTGTGTACACACCAAATAAAAACTCAATAAAATTTTAAAAACAACCAAAAGATCAATAAACAGAGAATTAAATATGCGACACACAAAAGATTAAAAAGAAAATGTCTATAAACATATCGAAGATGATATGTAAAATTTTGATGGGCGGCTTGATATTAGTCCAACTTTTCCAACTTTGGGATCTTCAAGGTATCCCGTACAGCACAAGTTTTTGAAGAAGACCACTCCAAAGAGTCAGTGTTGGCATCAATCTCAATAGGGCGCTTCCCCGTACTCGATGATGGTGTTACAGCTTCAAGGTCAACAACATCAAGATTGTCATCATGCACAGAATTAGTATTTTCCTGCAGAAAACAGAAAATAATAAATATCGATCAAGAAAAATATAAAACAAAACATACCATATTTGCATAAAGTCATGAAAAATGAAAGAAAAATATATTGAAGAGAGGGCACAGGGTTTGACTTTGGAAATATATGAGACAGTTACCAACCTTATTTGACTTGTTAATAGGAGTACCATTATCATTTATATTATCATGTTGATGATTTGGTGACCGTTTTGTCACCTCAGCAAGAACCCTTTCATCATCGGTTAACTTATGCACAGTGTAAGCACGATAGTTGTTCTGCAGATTGAACATGGAAATCTGAACTTTGAAGACAAACTTCTTATTTAGAAGAATTTTGAACTCATCAGGTATCTGTTGTCGCCCTTGATCCTAATTTACATTATAAAATGGTTGGAAAAGTTAAAGAAGAAAAATCATATATGTCAATCATTTAAATAACGGAGATATTTTATGAAACCTTAGCTATTTTGTCCATCAACCATTGGTTTCCACGATGAATAAGATCTTTTACATGACGCTCAAACAATACAAACGAAGAAGAGCCACTTTCATCTTGCACACGAACTACTATCCTAATCCTAAAAATTATAACATAATACTTATATTTAGCTTGACATACACAATGAAATATATGAAAAATGTAAAATACATGCATAGTCAAAGAGATAATAATTACTTACTTTCCAAATACATCCGAGACAAATCCACAACCATCACAGTGAAAAGGGCCAGCATCAACATCATCATCATTTTTAGTAACCTTTTTAGAACAATCACGGCAATAAAATGAATACCAACCATCATCCATATCAAAACCAATGATAGTAGCGATAATGGTTAAACCAACTTCCTGTTTCATATATAGGAAAAAAAAGGAATCATATTAAAATATTATTTCATATAAATTGTAGATATAAAATCAAAACAATAATAGAATGCGGAAACTGTTATATAAAAATGTTAAGTAAACCTCATTAAAATCAGGAATTTCATCAATGTTTTTTATCTGAAAACGGAGGTAGTAATCCTCTGGATTAGCCACAACGGTATCTGAGTTGAGCTGGGATGTACGGCTAGAAGACTCAACATTCGTATCCAAAGCATTAAGACTACATAAACAAAAAAGTGATGTTATTCAACAAAAGTAATGATTTAGTAAGATAAATGTGTTAAAAATGGTAAATAACATACTTTGATTTGAACTCCAAAATCTGAGGCATGTCATCATTTATATGCAATCTAGACCCAAACAAACAATTACCAACTTGAGGCTGACCTGCAAGAAAAAAGTAAAATAATATTGTCAGTAATTACTTTGAAGTTGAAATGATAATTTGTTGTAAAAAACACTTACCACCCCAAATTTTGAGTTTGGCCAAACGTAGCAGGATAATAACAGGAGCAGTGTCATTATTATGTTGTGAAATGTAAGTATTCAGCTTCATTGCAAAACTGCCCCACAAAGCGACTGCAATTCTCGTACCACTAAATATGCATGGTGGTTATTAATGAAAGATAAATATAAACGGGGGAATGTGTAATAATAATACGAATGTGTACCTTAAATCCTGAGCAACCAGATTCATTAACCTTTTCTCTCTTCCATACTCAACAATGACTCGCATGGGATCAGTTGACACAACTTCACCTAGAAAATCTATGTGAAAAAATTTAATAAATTAGTAATAATAATCCAAATGTGTATTACATTAAAAATTGAAGTATAGAAATAAGTTAAACTAACAACATAACATACCAAATGCAACACGAGTGTCAAAGTTCCTGGCTAGCAAATCTGGGAAAGAGATAAAATGATAAGGATCTACTGTATCAACAAAATCATTGGATACACGAACTTTTGTGGTTTTGTAGAAATTGATTTTATGTTTATGAGGGACAAGCATGTATTCGCTTTCATTGCTAGCCATAGCGAAGTTACTGATCTCCCGGACAGCTCCTTCATCGAATAGGGATTCAAATACAGGAATAAGATTTTTTTTTATTGTTGCTTGAATTCTACTTCCCTGTAGGTGACAATGAAAGATAAAAAAAGTGTAAAAAAATATTAAAAAAAAGGAACAATAAGAGATTTCATTACATAGACTAAAGTTTATTTTTAAAAATAATACAGTTGATTATTAAAATTGTTAAAATTGTATGAATAGAAGTAAAAAAGCATAACAAAAATCGAATTTCAATTTTTTTGAATAGAGATAACATAAGAAATTGATAATCTAAAAAACAAATGGTGTAAAAACAGTACCTCCTGGTCAATTAAAATCATGTCCAGGCTTGCGACCATATTAGGATTGTTTATATAGGTCGGCTTCCAAAGCATGACGACTTTAACACGTATGTTCCAAGACTCTTTAGATGCGTTGATTTCAGCAACCTTATCAAAGACGACCTGATCTGCATTGTTAGATGCCATGGAATACTATTATCTGCAATGGAAGGGGATAATTGGTTAGAGAGAATTTTGATTTGTAATGAAAAATCGTAGACAGTATATTTATAGGGAAAAATAAATTTGGTTAATGCTGATATCACATAAAGATTTTGGAATGTAATATCATTTCCATACTTAAGATATGTTTTAATTATGGTATGATATCCAAAATAATATCAATATACCATGTCTAATATAAGGAAATTATATAATAAATATACAATATTTTCATAAATATGGTATGATATCGAAAATAATATCAATATAAGATGGTTAATATATTTTTACAAAATATAGGAAAATATAAATTTGGTTAACGCTGATATGACATAAAGATTTTGGAATGTAATATCATTTCCATACTTAAAAGATGTTTTATATATGGTATGATATCCAAAATAATATCGGTATACCATGTCAAATATAAGTAGAAAATAGATAAAATCATACTATCTTCTAAAATATAATAATTACCATATAAAAAACTGTAAATTTGAAAAGCTTGTAGAATAAGGAAAAAATAAATAAAATCATACCATATTTAAGATAATATTTACCATATAAAAAACTGTAAATTTGAAAAGCTTGTAGAATAAGAAAAAAATAAATAAAATCATACCATATTTAAGATAATATTTACCATATAAAAAACTGTAAATTTGAAAAGCTTGTAGAATAAGGAAATTATAGAATAAATATACAATATTTTCATAAATTTCGACAAAATTACTAAAATGCCCCTAATCGATTAAGTGCTTACAGCATCTTAATTTGTCATATTGAATAGAATAAATGAAGCTATAGGAACAATAACAATATAGTGTAATCATATTTAAAAATTATGTATTTATAAATTTAAAAAAATAGATGGTAAAGTGTTGATAGACCATACATAACAGTTATAAATATTGAGACTCTTTGACATGTAAATTTGAAAAGCTTGTAGAATAAGGAAAAATATAATAAATATATAATATTTTAATAAACTTCGACAAAATTACTAAAATGCCCCTGATCGATTAAGTGCTTACAGCATCTTAAATTGTCATATTGAATAGAATAAATGAAGTTATAGCAACAATAACAGTATAGTATAATCATATTTAATACATTACGTATTTATAAATTTAAAAACATGGGTGGTAAAGTGTTGATAGACCATACATAACAGTTATAAATATTGAGACTCTTTGACATGTGTAATCTAATTTATCTTTTAAATATTGAGACTCTTTGCCCGAATATTCACATGTAGCCTCCTGCCCTTCTTTATGGTAACAATTTGATTTCTGAATTGCTCTGTATGGATAAAGTGTATGGATAAAGTGTTGTATACATGAACAATAAACATCTCTTTGAAAACATTTGAGAAAGAGGCATAGTTAATTAATTACATCATACAAGTTGAGGTTGTAACCACATAAGCAACACCAGTCCCAAAGAAGTTAAGAAACTGAAGCCAACCACATAGCAACGCCTGTTTTTCACCTGTTGACCGAATAATACTACTTAAATGTAGAAACTACGTACAAATACGTACATGAAAGATTAGACTGCAGTGATGATGTAAGCAACTGTACTCCATAGTGTTCCTGAATCCAAGGAAATTAATCTATCCAGAGTTATGATTTGTTTGATTGAAAATGGATTTGGAAAAACACAAAAGGGTGTTTGACTTTGGATTAACCTGTTCTTATTGTGTTGTTGTGATCATTGGTGGCAGAAACTCCATGGATGAGTTCTTGTTCAACTGTTACTTATATGATATATATCGAAATCAAAATCAACATGGAGTAAAACAGAAACCCAAACACAAAAAGAGGAGAAGAAATTGAAGATCAAACGGAGCAAACCAGTGAGCTTTAAAGAAGATAACCCCAACATGGGAGTTTATGATGCCCATGCCCAGGTGTCGGCTTAACATCATTCTGTTCTTGTACCACTTCTTCATCAGATGCTTTTGCTGATGCATTTCCAAACCTGTAGATTACATGACACATCTTTTCTTTAAAAAAAACATGTGTTTCATATATCGATACATAAAATAAGAACTTGCCTTTCTATAGAATCGACAATTTACTCCAATGAATTACTAAGGGATGCCAACAATATAAGTTTGTTGTTAACACGAATTAAAGACTCCTGAAAGAAGAGATATCTTATCTTATTGTAATCTTCTATAAAACAATAACTTAAATTTTTAAAAGGAATAATAAGACAGATCACATACCTGTTTGATTGGCCTTAGTTTCATGACAAGAGCACTGATTTCCAATTCAAACCCATCAAATTCAGCATCAGCAATATGGTTATCTTCATTGGCATGAGCATGAGCAAGTGAAGTTCGGCTGTCGAATGAAATTGGTCATTTAGCGTAGATATCAACAAAAGGTGGAAATGGAAATAATTTGAAGAAATAGCTGCAGGATTTCTTGAAATTATAATTACAAGTAAATTATGCCAAAAATAGAGATTATGGAGAAAGTGAGAAAAAGCAAAACCTGGATAATAAGACCGAGGCCAAGAAGGAGACTGAAATTCTTCTTGAGAAAATCGACATCTTTCTTTACAACTTGTACAAAATGCCCAAAGCTTCTCCCAAATAGAGAAAAGAACATTCTTCTAGGTTTTCATAAGTCAAAAAGAAAAAAACTCTAATAAGTCTTGTCTCCATTAAATCCATTAAATAAAAAAGATACAATATTTGAATTTTCAATACCTTGAGACAAAATCGAGAAGATACATCTTGATCAAATACTCCCAATGCAATGACAGGAAGCGATGTGAAGAAGACATTGTAAAGAGACAAATACCAATCATTATACGCAGGTTGAGCTGAGAATGATGCATAAGCTTCATACAAGAAAATCGTGGTTCCAAATACGATGTTTTTATAGAAAAAATAGCATATCTGCAAAAATTAAACCAACAAAATCAATCAAATATTCAATATACGACATACCCTTGTGCATCAAATTTGGGGATTTTTTTTTACAGAATTCTTAACATTGAAGAAATTCTTCGGTAAGACCAATGTCCATGGACTAATAGCAATTGTTCCAAAAACCGGAATTGAGCAATTGAGATGTCGCTCGACATAACCGCCTGCATTCCCTCAACTCCACTGATTCCGATTCCGATGTCGGCTTCTTGAATCATTCCGACATCGTTAGCTCCATCGCCGATTGCTAATGTCGTCTTTCCGGTTCCCTCTTTAACAAGTCGTGTAACCAATGCCTTTTGTTTTGGTGATGAACGACAAATGGTCGACGCGGAGAGTTGATGGGGAATCGGGAACGATGGGTGGAAAAGAAACTGATGGTCGAAAATCGTTGATGGTCGACGCGGTGCCCCTCAGGAATTCCTGGGGTTACGCATAGGATCGATTCCATTTCATTATTTAGTAGAACGCATAGGATCGATTCCATGTATAGATGAAATCAATGGGGTTATGCATATCGGCAGAAGGAAGGAGAAGGAAGGGGTTAGGGTTCATATCTATTGAGTTTCAGGGGAGCTGATTGTGTTGATTGTTTAGAGAGAAAACATAAGAATGAAGGAAAGAATCGTAAGAAGGAAGTTTTATTCGGGAGGCGCGTGTATTATGTTGGGTCAGGATGATGTCAGCAAAATGATCCTAAGGTGGAGACTAAAGGAGGGAAATGCAATCAAGGGTTGATGTTTCTTCAATGAAGAATTTAAGGTTTTGTTTTAGTAATATTTAGAGATTGCCCATATATCTTTATTGGAGGAAGGCGGGTTGCTAGAGAAAGCTCTAAAGGAGTTGCGAAAAAATAGTTCAAGATTGTAAGTTTATTTTTATAATTACTTTGTATAATAATGACATGAATATTTGGCTTCATTTGATAGCATATCTTTATTGTTATAAATGAGGTTTCTCTCCTTGTGAAGCTTAATTCTTTGAGAAATGTCAAAAGTTATATAGGGTGCAACTTATAATGAATCGTGACAACTACATGTAGACACCAATATTCTTATTACTTTATAAATTTTGTAAAATTCAAAAATTAATTGATCCTTTTTTTATTTAGATACTACGAAGGATTATAAAAATATCTTGGACTACATTCAAAGACCGGTCAATATTCTTTGATGAAATAGATAAGTTGGATGCGCTCTATAAAATCTCTTGGTGAATAATACACTTAGGTGCTGTTTGTTTTTTCAAAGTAAAAATTCATGAAATCTGCGGACAAACTCTTCAACCCTCTGCAGCAGAAGATGTGTACCAAATAGCTGAAACATGTAATAAGAAGTTTGTTTGTTTTTTAACATCTGCAGACTGTTGCAATAAACTGATTTTACAAACTGAAAATAATTCTCAACACCAAATTTTTAATAATTCTAGTATTAAAACATTGAAAGAATACTAAAAAAGACATGTAAAAAACAAAAATATAATTTAAAAAAAAAATCTAAACAAATGTAAAAAAAATTATCAGTTTTGTTCTAGAAAAAACTAATATTAAAGAATCACACATGTTAAAAAAATGCAACTAAAACTGAAAATATTATTAAAATAAACGGTACATAAAATCAAATTATAAAAAATTGTGGATATTATAAAAAGAAATTGTATCAAATCCATAAATAAAAGTTAAAAAAAAAATTAAGTTTAAAAAAAATTAAGTTATACCATTTTTTTTAAATCACTTGGAAAAAAGGAAAGCTGAAGAGGTTTGCACAGACAAGTCAAGTGTTGTGTTGTGCAGAACATACGCATAAGTTTTATAGTCTGACGTCTTTCAAAAAAATAAACTGTTGCGAGATGGCAAATGTTACGCGTGTGTAGCATCGCGCAACAAAAAGTTGTATCAAGAGTTTTTTTTTGTTTAAAAAAAAACAATCTCCTGGTCTTTTGTTGTTAAAATATTAAAATTTTAGAATATATCTATTTTTATGCCAATTAAATTATATAAATCACAACATTTTCTTTTAGAGGATCCCACTAGATTTTTTTGATGTTGGAAAGTTTCGTGATACAACAGATAGTCATGCCTCTCTTAACAAAGGTAGTCATCTCTTTAATATTTATTCAATTTTATGTGAATTTGTATCATCGAATTGCTTGGTGTATCTCTCCATATAAATGGTGAGTGTGTATTTGATATTTTATGTGAGTGAAGGATACATATATAATGGGAAAATGACACTGTAGCACATTAAAGTTTCGTCAATTGTCCAATTTGGTCACTAAAGTGATTTTCTTGCACAATAGACCATTAAACTCGTTATTACCTGTTAATTAAACCATTATTCTCGGATTTAAAAGGTTTCCCGGTAACAATGCTGATATGTCATTAATAATCATTGTCTTTATTTTTTGGTGGCCACATATGTTTGTTAATCCATGTAAGCTTTATCTTTATTTGTTTTGGGAAGCACCTCCCACCATCTCAAACTACATCATAGTACACAAGCATGACTAAAATAGATGAACCCTTCATCTGGACCAATTCATGTGTACAGCAATAAATTCATCTTCCTCTAACCCCTGATTCATTGTAACACCCAAAATTTTCAAAACATACTTTCCACCACATAAAAATCACAAAATCATAATAAATCTCTGTATCATCACAAAACATGTCCCAAGATCTCATATAAATAAATCCTCTCTCGTGTGTACGAATCATGCCGGCGCCTTCCCGCGATCCTCACTAGTACCTGAAACACATCACACAACAACTGTAAGCATAAAAGCTTAGTGAGTTCCCCAATATACCACATACAACACATACGCCACTTGAGGCTACAATACGACCCTCCGGTCCAATGTGTCTCAGCGGGACCCTCCAGTCCCGTAGCTCGTTGGACCCTCTGGTCCGGTCATAGCTCGTTGGACCCTTCGGTCCGGTCTGTATCGTTGGACCCTTCGGTCCGGTCTACATCGTTGGACCCTGCGGTCCGGTCTATATCGTTGGACCCTTCGGTCCGGTCTATACAAAACATAGCATACATATAACACAATGCACATAATCTCATACATACACATAGCATACAAGACCCTCTGGTCTACACATAAATACCACTCTAGGTAATGTATAATGAGAAGACTCACCTCGGATGTCTCGGATAATATCCTGCCCGTGTATATACTGATCTAGCCTCTGCCTATACACATAACATAATCATCTCAATCAATCACGACTCTCTAGGCTAGACTAGACTCTCACATGTCCTCTAAGAAGGCTAAAAGGCTATTTTACCCTTCAAACAGTCCACAAGTTCCATTGTTGACCAAACCCAAAAGTCAACAAAAGTCAACGGTCAACCCTTGACCAGACTCGCCGAGTGCACAAATGTGACTCGGCGAGTTCAGTCGTGAACTCGAGTCCTCTATCCCCCTTCTGACTCACTGAGTCATTCCCCCAATTCGGCAAGTCACTCACTGTGTGATTCACGGGAAACCCTAACCCTACTCGCCGAGTCTGCCCTTGGACTCGGCGAGTTCATGTCATGCACAAACTCAATTGACCTCCTGAGGTCAGATCTGTTCCTTAGAACCATAGATCTGACCTTCCCAAGCCTGATAATCACGTAAAGATTGGATCTTGACACTCATGTGACGCCTAGGAGGCTTTACTTGGTGATTTAGCTCCAAAAACAACAACCTGAGCTCATTGCCTCCATAGCTCAACATAAAGCAAGCTGGAATAAGCTCTTTAGACCACTATGGGTCCAGATCCGAAGTCTCAAAGTGAATAGGGGCCATATTCTCACAGCTCCTTCCAATAAAAGACATAAAAACTCTACATCTATGGATTCCTTCAACAAAACAGATAAAGGGGCGACATAATACCTCAAAGATGAAGTCTTTTGCTCGAAATCCCCAGATGCACAACCTCCTTGGTCCCCTCCAAGCTGGAATCACCTCCTTCTTGTAAGAATCAATCACAAAGATCAAGAAATGGCTCCTTTCCTCTCACAAACGCTCTAGCTCTTTTAGGGTTTCTCTCTGGGGTTTGGTAGCCGCAAGTGACGGCCCTAAGGGCCTTTAAATAGGTCCCAAACCCAAGAAATTAGGGTTTCATTAAACAGCGTGGACTCGCCGAGTCCACGTATGGACTCGCCGAGTCCACGTATGGACTCGCCGAGTCCAGTCATTAATCCAGTCCAACAATGCGCGGCTCTACTCGGCGAGTCTAAGCGCCTACTCGCCGAGTCCCTCTCCAAAACTCAAAAATAATTAGATAAATACAGTACCTAGAAATCTGGATGTTACAATTCTCCCCCACTAGAATCAGACTTCGCCCTCGAAGTCTCTCTCAGCAAATAATTTTGGGTACTGTTCACGCATCTCTAACTCCGGCTCCCAAGTCAGCTCGGACCCCTTCCGATGTTGCCACTGGACCTGAACCAATGACACCTCCTTGTTTCTCAAAACCTTGATCCTCCTATCCCGAATCGCGATCGGCCTCTCAACATAGTTCAGGCTCGCATCCACCTGAATGTCCTCAAGGGGAACCACTGCCGACTCATCGGCGATACACTTCCTCAACTGAGATACGTGGAAGGTATCATGAATCTGACTCAACTCCGCAGGTAGTTCCAAACGATACGCTACTCTGCCCACCCTGGCGATCACCCTGAAAGGACCAATATACCGAGGCCCCAACTTGCCTCTCTTCCTGAATCGGATCACTCCTTTCCAAGGAGATACCTTCAGGAGGACGAAGTCACCAACCTGAAATTCGAGCTCGGACCGTCGTCTATCCGCATAACTCTTCTGACGGCTCTGGGCCGTCAGTAACCTCTGCCTGACCTGCTGAATCTGCTCGGTCGTCTGAAGCACAATCTCCGTACTACCCATCACACGTTGCCCGACCTCACCCCAGCAAATGGGAGTCCGACACCTCCTCCCATACAACAGCTCAAAGGGTGGCATACCGATGCTCGAATGATGGCTGTTGTTGTAGGAAAACTCTGCCAAGGGTAAATATGTGTCCCAACTCCCTCCAAGTCCAATACACATGCCCGAAGCATGTCCTCGAGCGTCTGAATCGTCCGCTCACTCTGCCCGTCTGTCTGTGGGTGGTATGCGGTACTAAAATGCAGCCTCGTACCCAACTCCTCATGAAACTTCTTCCAGAATCTGGAAGTGAAACGCACATCTCGATCTGAGACGATCGAGATCG